GGACCACCCTAAACGCTAAACCCCGAAGAACCCTTAAACCCTTAAACCTAATGTCTCTGGTCTAAACCTCAGTTTTAACTCTTTACAGGTCAGCCTGTGCAAATCGACAGTCCTGGGGCATGGGCTTTTAGTTGCTGTCAAAGGTTTTGGGGGTTTTGGCCTCGGCTTTCTGCAAGTCGATCCGGTACTCTGCAGTTGAGAGCTCCCTAATAATGACAGTCACAATACTACTTATAATAAAGGGGACCAGGAGCTTCACGTCAAGTGTGGACGCATGGCTTCTGAGGCTAGGTCTGGGGCCAAAAGTCCACTTAGCTCCTCAGATCCTGAACCCCAAACCCCAAAGGCCCTAAAGCTCTACCCCTGAACCTCGTCTGGCAAGTCCTGTGTCGCTCGGACCTGCTCCAGGAGCTTCGAGTTTGAGGGTCTAGGGGAAAGTGTTTAGGGTTTACTTGGAGGGTCGGGGGACTTAGTAAGTAGGTAGTAAGTAGACTTATAAGTACCCTAAAAAGGACCCTAATTGGGGTTATGGTAGTTATAAGTCCCTAAAATAACCAGTTACTAAGTCCCCCGACCCTCCAAGTAGAGTTAGTAGCTGTTTTTTGGTACCCTTAAGTGTGCTTCGAAGCAAGGATATCTCATATCTGTACTTGCCCTCCGTTGAAGCACTTGATAATTCCTCTGATCCTCCTTGCGCTGCAGCATCAGATGCCGTAAACCCCAACCCCTAAACCCTAAACCCTAAACCCAAGACCCTAAACCCAAAACCCTAAACCCAAGACCCTAAACCCTAAACCCTAAACCCAAAACCCAAAACCCAAAACCCCTAAACCCTAAACCCTAAACCCCAAAACCCTAAACCCTAAACCCCAAAACCCAAAACCCTAAACCCTAAACCGAAAACCCAAAACCCTAACCCCTAACCCCTAACCCCTAAACCCAAAACTGGGCCAAGGAATCCTTAGGCCCTGAACATGCCAAATCCCACGGCGCCCTCGAATTCGACTGGAAAAACCAAGCACGAAGGGAAGCCCTGAGCTCCTAATCCCTGAAGCGGCTTAGGGTTTTGGGTTTAGGGTGTTTAGGGTTTAGGGTTTAGGGTTTTGGGTTTTGGGTTTTGGGTTTAGGGTGTAACCTCATCTAGCAGAGAAGACAGTGGCCCTGGACGCTGAGCTCCCGAACCTTACAGTCCTGCCTGCAACATTTTGAGCAGGCATTTCTCTAGCTTGGTGGTTCGGAGAAGCGTCCTCGATGCTAAGCCGCAAAGCTACACCCTAAACCCTGAACCCCACGGCGCCGAACTCCCTCTGGAATCAGGCTCACCAACTGCAGCGATCCACCCAGGTCCGGGGGTGTTGGAAAAATGCCGACTGCATCTGTAAGTCTTGGGCTTAGGATTTGAAGTATTGGGGTTTTACACAATTTCTGAAGTTTTCCTCTCGGTAGCTTCGGATCCGACAGAAGTCGTTTCTCGAACTTCGGGGGCGCAAGCTGTGTCGAAGAGTGGAGGATACCTGGAGCCCACTGGCTAGAAGAATCAGGTAGAACAGTTTCAACGCCGGTTGCGTCAGAGCTATGATACCAAAGCTCTATCCAAGCCTCGAAACCAACGACGGCTGATTCGTGACCATTAGGCTTTTCGTTCTGGCATCCCCACCTGCACCCAGCATACACGTGCCAGGGTTCTGAAGCAGTCAAAACTCAAATCTCTGATGCGCACCCTACCGCACGTGAGGTTCGTGGTGCAAATATCCGTGGCTTCCATCAGACTGAGGCACCGCGAGGTTTTTCAGGTGTGCATGGTTAAAGGTTGTTTGTCGGGTCTTACGCCGCCGTTCTTGAAAATCATGTTTTACGGCTTAGAGTTTTGCGTTTGTTTACGGTCTGGGAGTTTGGTTCTCCCATAGCATCGTTTTGCCTTTCGGGCACTTTCACAAGCTCTTAAAAGTTAGTAGTGTTCTGGGAGTTCAGACTTTGGTTTTCCTGTGTTATTGGAGTACATAACTTATTGGCTGTAAACTCAACTTTTCAACTTTTGGGGTTCTTATAAGATAGTCAGTTCTGAGAGTTTCAACTTTAGTTTTCTTGGGTTTTTGGGCCAGTGAGATAAGCAGGTTCTCGGATTGCTTTAGGCTTTCGGGTTTGCGGTTTAGGCTTCCGCTTCACGGTCCGGTTTAGGGTTCAGGGGTTTAGGTGTTTAGGGTTTAGGGGTTTAGGGTTTAGGGTTTTTCGGAAGAAGCACAAGTTGATAGCAATGCAAGCAATCTTGCCGACAGCAAATTTTTGGAGCAATGCTGACAATTAAGCCTGCGAACCAGAGAGTAACACACACACACACAGAACCACACAACACACACAACCACATACAACACACACACACACACAACCCCGAAAGCCTTGAGAACAGACCTGCAGGTGCGACACTCGCGCCGGCGCACGGTGGGGCGCACCCGCCGCCTGAGCTGGTGCTGCGATGACGACTAGTCGCAAAGCTCGTTTCAAGAACTGTGAGCCATCCGCAACTTCCCAAGTCAAAATGCCGTAATCCCAAACTTGACTAGCTACCTTGTATTTCTTGTTTCTGAAGTCTAGGGAAAGTTTCAAAAGAGTCGATGGAGCAGCTGGTCCCTGAATCCTAAACCGAAAACTATGGGCCGCAGCCGTACACTGCATATTACAAGCCGGATACCCCTAAGTCACTGAAATTCCTGTTGGTGGACTCGTCTCAGCCGGTGGTGGTGTCTGAGCGATCCACTTCTCCTTCCCCGCTTCCTGGATTCGAATGCCCAGCAGGGATGATTACCAGCTATAAATGGGTAGCCGTAAAAGGGACCATCATTTTGACAAATTTTCATACTGCGCATTGTGAGCATAGTGTGGATAGCTGTGCTAGTGGAGACTCAAACGGCAGTAGTAGATTTCATACTGCTGGCTTGAGTGTTTACTTGTTCTGAGCATTGTGAGCATTGTGTTGATAGCTGCTAGAGTGGATAATTTCAACGGCAGTAGTAGTAGTAGTAGTAGTAGTAGTAGTAGTAGTAGTAGTAGTAGTAGTAGTAGTAGTAGTAGTAGTAGTAGTAGCAGTAGCAGTAGCAGTAGCAGTAGTAGCGCAGTCGCAGTCGCAGTCCAGCAGTCGCAGTCGCAGTAGTAGCAGTAGCAGTAGCAGTAGCAGTAGCAGTAGCAGTAGCAGTAGCAGTAGCAGTAGGAGTAGTAGTAGTAGTAGTAGTAGTCGTAGTAGTCGTAGTAGTCGTAGTAGTCGTAGTAGTAGTAGTAGTAGTAGTAGTAGTAGTAGTAGTAGTAGTAGTAGCAGGAGGAGCAGCAGTAGTAGTAGCAGTAGTAGTAGCAGCAGCAGTAGCAATAGCAGTAGCAGTAGCAGTAGCAGTAGCAGTAGCAGTGCCAGTAGCCAGTAGCCAGTAGCCAGTAGCCAGTAGCCAGTAGGAGTAGTAGTAGTAGTAGTAGTAGTAGTAGGAGCAGGAGGAGGAGGAGTAGTAGTAGTAGTAGGAGAAGAAGAAGTTGTCGTTTAGCGTGGCACTGACAAGGAGCAGGAGCAGTAGTGCTAGCAACCTAGCAGGAGTGGTAGCCTAGTAGACACGTGCCAATCTGAAGCCACGACAGCTTCTTCGATCCCCAGCGAAGACTGGGCCTAGGCTAAGCATCGGTTGAAACAGACGGTTTTAGGATTTAGTAGGTTTAGGGTTAAGCGAGAAATATTGGGTTCAGGATTGAGGGCTAGCATGCACCGTGCAGGGGAAGGAGCCAGGGCGTTTATTAAGTTCCGCACGCGGACCACCACAAAGCAGCGTGTGCGTAGTTCTTTGCGGCGCTTCGCTGGCGTACGGGCCTACATAATTACCTGTGCCATTTTTTGGGGGTTCCTGATCATGATTATAGTATAATGGGCCCCAAGAACCTGTTCTAATTTTTTAGGCACCTATAATATCGGACCTCATCTCGAGACCTGAGAAAGTGTGCCAGAAGCGCTGCATCCAAATTGCCAACGACGAGCACGATGTACTTTCTTCTTTGCCTGGCGGCTGAAAGCAGCTGCCGTGGCAGAATTCATTAGCTGCGACATACAAGCCCTCGACTTTCGACCCTCCCTTGCGCCTCTGTGCCAAAAGTCCTGCGCCGGACAGGGAGTTGCAGGAAGGGGGGCCCTTTGAAGAACGACTCAAGCATAATCTTCGGGTGCTAAGGCTTAGGCTTTGGTGTGGAGCGCTTGGGTACCGGTGAGAATTTAAGGTTAAGCTGGGATCCGATGTATCGGTAGTATCGGTCCATCCTTTTTCTCAGAAGCTTCTTCATCGGTGCGCAGCCTGAGGGGAACCCTTGAAGAAACTTTTTAAGCTTCTAGCAGTAGAGTGGGCAAGCTGTAGTCTGTTAGGTGTAGTGTAACCCCCAGAATCCTTGACCTTTTGCGCCGAACCAGAACCACAAGGTTTAGATCAACAAGGCTTATATGAAAAGAACACATAACCTTCTTGTTGTTAGTGTTTGGCTTTGTTCGTCTTTAAAAGTTTGTTTCTGTCTTTTATTTTTTGTTTTTAAAATTTTTGTGTATTTAAAGTTGGTTTTGTTTTAAAAGCTTTTAGTCTTTTAAAGTTGTTTTTGTCTTTTAAAGTTTGTTTGTCTTTAAAGGTTGTTTTGTCTTTTAAAGTTTTTTGTTTTGAACAGTTTTTAAAGTCAGTTGTGTCGAGAAAGCCTTGTGGATCTAAACCTTGTGGTTCTGGTTCGGTGCAAACGGCCAATGACAGAATGCTATTTCACGGGTTAACTTTCTAGTTTCCCTGGGATACTGGACAACTAGGTCTTTTCAACTTTTACAAAGCCTTACTGCACTAGTAGTAGTAATATATATATATATATATATATATATATATATATATGTATGCGTGTATTAAAAGAATAGTAATAGTAATAAATACAAATAACGATCATCACCATGGTCGTCATAATATTAACAGTATAAGGCCCCTATCGTAAGTCTTCCCGGCCGACAGGTCATTGCAAGCAACGGCGATCTGCTCGTGGCCTGGAAGCCACCGAAGCTGCCACGGCCTTACGATAGGGGCCTTGTAACTTGTCAGTATTAATTACTCTTATTATTGGTAGAATTATTACTATTGCTATTATTGCTATTGTTCTTTGTCTTCGTTTTCGTAGTGCTAGTACTGGTTTAGTATTACTATTACCAAAGCTGCCACATGGCTGCGCAGCTCGAGTTTGCTTGTTATAGCTTTGCGGGTACTATTGAGGTTACAGTTGCATACTATATGTGTATACACTCATATATGTAAGGCTGTTAGGGTGTCTTAATGTTCGGGGTACTGTGGGGCTTATGCGCGCAAGGTATATACTATGTATGTAGATGTGTATCTGTATAGGTGTATGATGTATATATATATATATATATATATATATATATATATATATATTATATATATATATATATCTGTATACATACACATGTACGGCTGTTAAGGTTCAGTGTATGTAGGTTTAGCTACGGTTTGGGTTTGCGGGCGTTTTTGGGCGTGAGCGTGTTCCAGGGCAGTCATGGGTTTGGTGCAGTTTCAGGTTGAGGATGTTTTTGATTCCGATTGTTTGGTAGGGTTGATCGTGTTTTTTAGGGCTGAGGGCATCGCAGCATTTAACTAACTTAAGTGTCTAGATTATTACCAGGGCTCAGGGTATGTTCGGCTTTGGTTTAGGTCAAAATGTGGTTAAGGGCATTGTAGTGTTCAAGTTTTTTTCGGCTTGCTTTATGGTTTAGGGTCTATCGGGGTTTGAAGCATGGTTAGGGCTTAGAGGGCCTTCTTGAGCTAGTGCAAGTTAGCATGTAGCTGATACTGCGATTCAGGGTGTGCTGCGGTTTAGGGTATGTGTAGGGTTTGTGCATATTGAAGCTTAAGGTAGTACCTTAATACCGTATGCTAGGTCCAGTGCATCTTGGATTGCTTGGGGTTTCAAACGTTTGGCGAAGCAATGTGCATCGTTCAGTCGAGGACGAGAACGCCGGTTTAGTTTCGACACTCGGTAAGCTGTTGCATGAACACTCATGGCGTCAGGTTGAGATGCACACCTCACGCGGGTTGAAATGCCTACCTTCAGCAGCTACAGGTGTCTTAGTATGTTGCCGGCGGTGTCTTGTGTGCGAAGAAAGCTGATGATCCGTGTTGCTCGTCAGGGCGATGTCGCTAGGGCACCTGGGTGCGGAATGCACTCACGTCGAAACCAAAACCAAGATGGCTTCCTGATGATGGATGTATATGCATACTATACCTTCAAGTTCTGGCCAGGCAACTGCAGTTTCTAAACCCTAAACCCTAGACCTCTAACAAAAAGTGCTCAAAACCCTAAACCCCTAAACCTAAACCCTACATCCTCAAAACCCTAAGCAGGAACAGATCCGAAACTAAACCCTAGACCCTAAACCGCCAAACCTAAACCCTAAATCCTAAAGCCCCTAAGCAGGAACAGATCCGAAACTCCCTTACTTGCGACTTCTGTTTTCTGCTCTTGGCTCTCCGGGTAAGCCCGGAATCTGAAACTCTTGAACTTGGAAGGTTCAGGAACCAGGTTTAAAACAAAAAACAGTTGAAGCTATAGAATGTAACTTCAGGGACCAGGTACGTAAGTAACCCTTGAAAGTACATCAATAATGTCTATACCTATCCTCGATATTACATGCAAGCTGAAGAAGCGCAGCGCTATGTCTGCCAATAGCCCCTTCAGCCTTTTTAATCTTTATTCATCTGAAGCCCAAGATTTTATTTAAAATATGTTTTCATTGTGGTTCTTGGGGGGGGGGGGGTATAGACCCCGAAGCATCTGAATATGGGAGTTTCCGAAATTGGGGGTACCTTATTTAGGGGCTCTTGTAATAAGGATCCTACTATTTGGGGTACTATATTATTAGGGTCCCCCATAGTCGAAAACTCCCATATCCAGTCAGATCCGAGGTCCATGCGCCGGCGGAGAGGGGGGGAAGCCAGCGACCTCGAGGTGAGATCACAGCAAGGAAATCATCAACGGCGGAGTAGTGGTGCTCCATGGGGTGTTGTGAGGCCTTACTGGTTTTTTTTGGGGGGGAGGTAGTTCAGAAGATCAGAGAAATAGGATCATTGCAATTTTCCAGTAAAGCAACGTTTCTGTGAGCACTGCATATATATATATGCACACACACATAGATATGTATAGGTATAGATAGGCATCGTTTTAGTTTGGGTACTTCATTCGCCCCAACTTGTGGATAAGGCAGTCGTCGCGAGGCTGTTGAAACGTCGTTCCGTCAGCCTGAGCTGGTACAGTAAAAGCCAGAAAGTTGGAATATGATTATCCTAAACCCTCTATGGTAAATTATAGGGTATCCTACCCTGAAACCATATTCCAACTTTCTGGAGTTCCCTTTGTGCCCTTTGACTGGAATACCATGCCGGTCAGGTGGGTTTAGGGTATAGGGTTTAGGGTTTAGGGGCTATGTTTACTAGGTAGGCCTTTGCCATACTATCGTCGTTTGAGTTGAAGATGCCATGCAAGCACCGCAGAGCCTACTCTTCGTCTTGCGTTTAAGCTTACTCCCTGTCCTTGCTTGAAAAGTGGTGTGATGAGGTTCGACCACTCGCACGAAGCCCTATCGGGCTCTACCGCGCGAAACAAAAGCCAAAACACAAAACGAGTACCTTAAACCTCAAACCCCAAAGTGTGAATATACAGTCAACAAACATGAACTGTAAATTCACGCCTTCATCCTTGCATGAGGCCTGGGCTGCCGCAGCTGCGGGGGCTGCCACGGCTGTAACGACGTCAGGTGCCGAAGTTTTGGTCGGCGAGGGAGGTGAGGGACATGTGCCAAGGCTTCCGCTTTACTGTTAGGCTGCCGGTTTTGACGGCAAGCGGTACAGTGTAGATGTTGATTGACAGCTTGTTTCACACGTGACTCCTCGTCCCTCAAGAACAGATGCTACCACTAGCAACATCCTCCTCACTGGAAGGATTTTTATGAATATACCCTGAATCCTAAACCCTCTGCATTGCGCTCCCTGGCCTAGAAGCCCCATCTTGGCACAGCACCGGAACGACGCCTCGAGGGTTACTAGCGGGCGCTGTGGGAAACTTGCTAAATCTCTCATGGCAAATACAGATAGTAGAGACATGTAGCAGTGTTACCAGACTAGTGGTTATTGAACCTTTTCTGGACTACTACTTTGTGGGTTCCGGGGCTGCGGGATGAACCTGGAAACCCTGAACCCTAAGCCCTGATCTGCATTCCTAGTTTCAGGATTTCGGGAGTATCAACATAGGACATCGTGCATAACGAGGAGTAGGGCTTTCCCAATTTTTCGAATCAAATCATGTGCTCAGATCCCTTCGTCCAGCTATCTTCACGCACGTGCCCCAAATCCCCGAACCCGAAGAAACATAAACTCTAATCCCTAAACCCTCACCCTTACCTGCAAGCAGCTGAAATGGGTCCTACGACTACCATTGCCAAATCTAAGGATATATGAGTTATATGACTACCATTTGCTAGATGAAGACCTGAGCCACACCCTGACACTACAAGCCTTCTTAGGCTCGGAAGGGGCATTGGTGGCTTGGTCCTTCTGTCGCGCAGGCGGACAATGCACAACTCAGCTTTGGGTTTCTTGGGATTTGTTGTTTTGCGCGTTGTGTTTTTTGGAACGTTGGGCGTAGTGTTCAGGGTGTTGGGGCTTAGGGCCTAAACCCAAAACCCTAGGTCGAGGGATGGAGGTTTTGCAGGTTTGGGGTTTAGTGGTTTAAGGGATGAGGGGCTTAAGTGTTTAGGGATGACTTGGCCTTACCTGGACCCTAGAGAATCTTCTGTTGTCAGGGCTTCTTAACAAGACGTTCGTTATGTAAGTCCTTCGGCAGGTTCTTTAGGGTTTCTTCTTAAGATATTGTTGTATAACAAGTCCTTAAGAAGGTAGCTACTTCGGGGCGTCTTCTTATCTTGACATACAACAAGTCCTTAACAAGGTAGCTTCTTCAGGGCGTCTTCTTAATATTTTATTATGTAACAAGTCCTTGAGAAGGTTGCTTCTTCAGAGTGTCTGGTTAAGATCTTATTATATAACAAGTCCTTAGGAAGGTATAGGTTCTCCGGATTCCAGGTAGGCCCTATGCCAGCGGGCCTCTTGGGAAACAGCGCAGAGTAGCAGCCCAAAGAATGTCCAATACATGGGAGTTTCCGACAATGGGGACCCTAATATACGGGACCCTGTACGTACCCTAAATAGTAGAATCATTATTATAAGGACCCCAAATTAAGGTACTGCCCCTAATTAATTGATTTCCGACATGGCAACTGCGAAGAATCGGGCGTCCTGTTTAGAAGTTAAGGGTTTCGCTATGTGAGAATTATGCCAGAGCCCCTCATTTTTCTGTCAGGGAGTAGCACATCATTAGGTCATCACACTATACTCCCCGCAGCTCTAAACCCGAAACTCGTGCGTGACGACATATCCTTCCAGGCCATAAAGCCCAAAACCTCGCTTTCATGTAATCCTAAGCATACAATTACCTAATAGTCTTATACTCCCTAATGGCAATGGGCCTTTAACCCTTGTAACACGCATCTTAACACGGCGTAACCTAGAGGCCAACATAATTGCCAATGCTATTTCGGGGTTCCTTAGCAAGATTTACTGTATAATGTACCCGGAAACCGCCAGTTCTACTTCGGCGAGGGAGGGCGGGTCAGGGGCAGATGTTTTACGTGGTTAGGGTTTTGCAGAATTTGGGGTGTGTTAGGATCTTGTCTTTCTTGCTCCTTTGGCTTGTGAGCTTAGTGCTTCAAGCTGTTCCGCAAACCCTCAACCCAAAACCTAAACCCTCGTTCTCCGAGGCCCCTGCTGCCTCAAGTCTAGAGGGGCAAGGCTTCAGTGATCAACCATATTGTTTAGGGGTTTAGGGTTTAGGGTTATAATGTGGGAACCTGTAGAAACCCTTGCCCAAAAACCCTAAATTATTAGGATCCTTGTAAGGAGCCCTGATGAAGGCCTGTAGAAACCCTAGCCCTATAACCCCAGATTACTAGGATCCATACAGGGAGCCCTAATGAAGGCCCAGGGTTTCTTAATTAGGTTCCTACATTATTATAGTACCCTTCCTACTAGTAACCCTGACACATTATAAATCCCTTATAGTAACCCTTATAGACCCCTTTAAAGGAACCCTACATTACAGACCTGTGGTCTCCAGCGTTGTTCCACTATTTTTGTGGTCAAACCACTGTTGTAGCATAGGGTCCCAGCCGTAAAACTGGTTCTATAAACCCAAAAACACAAGAACTTTAATGGAGACTACGGGTATGCCCTATAAACCTTGAAGCTGAACTTAAGACCTGGAGGTTCAGCTCTAAGCGCCTTCGAAGCCAAGCAAGATAGGAGCTTCAAAATCTACAAAGACTATTCCATCGGGTGAAAACTGCATATTTCTCTATACTAAGCCAAAAAACCGTGTTCTACTCACTAACGCCCCGATATCAGGTTTCTTCTCGAACCCTACACCCTAAATCCTAGACATCGAATGCCAGGCAGACAGCAGCGGTTAATACGGAAGCCTGAACCCTAAACCCTAAAACCCTAAACCCTGAACCTCAGGGCTCCTCATAACACCACAGAAGAGCCCGAAACCCTCTTCTAAGTATTAAACCACCGAAACTATAGTTCCCTTATAGAACTCTGTAAAGAACCCTTAAAGGAGACCACAACCCTCTTCCCAGCATTAAGGCCCCCCTGCTAAATTCTCATCCCTTATGAAGGGATTCTAGTTCTGAGTATTAAGGCCCCTTCACTATAATTCCAAAGGGGTTGGTATAGGGCTCCTTTAAAGGATTCTCTTCGGTTTAGGGTTTAGCGTTCCCTAGTAGTAAGCTCCCTCTGTTTATGTTGCTTTGGGGTCTCGTTATTAAAACCGAACGCTGGGAAAAAAGGCTACACTTATGTTTACGGTGCTACTGGGGACCCTGGATCTGTTGCCAGAAACTACGGTTTGGGGCTTCGAGGGGTTTAGGGGGCTCCTTGCCAAATTCTGGTACAGCGGGCCCCAAAACCCTATTCCGGTAGCCCCTTTATTACCCTGACTGAGGTTGCAAGGCCAGAAAGCTTGCATGTTAAGTATCAGCTTCTCATAACTCCTGCTTCAGGGCATTTGGGCTTTCGGCTCCAAGGAGCAAGGGTGTCTATATATGGGTGGTTGTCAAATTATGGTCCCTTTTCGGGTCCTTTTTATAGTACGTCGCCTAATATTTAGGGTACCCCAAAAGGGGCCATAATTTCGACAACTACCCATGTAGGTCTCGCAACATTCCACAACCTCAAGCGCTGGGATGGTTAGAGTTTGGGGAGCTAGGGGCATCGGGATGGGGTATAGGGTATTTGGATGAGGACCCTCTAATTTCTTGTCTCTTTCCTGGCGTGGTTCCTGTAGCTTGGGAAACTCTTCCTTCACGGCTTTACGGCTGAGGTTTCTCCATGTCAGGATCTGGACATCGTTGTACGTTGGACGTGCCACTGCGCCCGAAGAGTGCTTCACATTTCGAGTTGGCTTCATGATTCAGTTCCCGGCAATCTCAGCCAGAACGTTTCTGCAGATTTTTAGATATTAGCAGGATGTGAGCCACTTCAGAACTACGGAAAGACCCTGAACTCCACAACCGTAAGCCAAAAAAAAGCCAAATGCAGCCCCGAACCCTCGACCCTTCATCACCAACATTTAGATCGAGTCCAGGGTTTAGCTCTCATCGTCTGCTCGTGTTGCGGGAGGGTTGGTCCCGGTCTAATTATAGACGTGACGCCGTCGAGCTGACGGAGCTCAGGTAACCTTCAATTGACTACGAAAACCCAGCCTTTTTCTGGCATGTGCTTCGGTTGGCGCGTATCTGTGCAAAGAAGAAGAAGAAGCCTGATGCTTCTGTGGCACCGCAGAGGGTGAAACTTGCTTCAGTGTTGGGGCGCAAGCACAAGATGCCAAGGTAAGATTATTTGCAGTTCGCGGAAAACCTTGCAACTTTGTATTGAATTGGCAGTGGCAGGCTTGAGACAAAGCCAAGGCGTCCGCATTTCCAGATGGTCCTGTTTGACACCGTAAGCTTCCCACATGAAACATGTGCACGGATACTCAACATCCCAACTGCAGACTTCTGCACGCTGCACTTGTACCCGGATGGCTGCAAGGCGGGAATCAGCAAAAGAAGCCGCTGCAGCGATCAAGGGTGGGCAAGCCAAGGCCACATCTGTATGTGATCGGGAGGTTGTCCATGGATGGGATGTGTTTCTGAAAGTATTTAGTGGGATAGTTTCGGATGCTTTGCTTCGTGGCTTGCATGCCTGTTGTTTGTTCGTCTTTTGTGCATAATACGGGTGCAAGGTGGAGTGCCGAAGCTTGTTGGATTTTTCATGGTCGTAGTTAGCAGCTGAGGTTGCGAGATTCTCCGTGGCAGGGAGGTCCATCGCTAGATTATGGAATAGCATTCTTGCGTACGGCCGTAATTTCCTCAGTTTTCTAGTTGGCGCCTCCGTTCATCTCCATTGTTGGCGAACCTTGAAAGCATTGTCTTGAAAATCAAGCTTTGGCGTGCCGGACTTCAAGTTTTGACAGAGCCGGCAATGCTCCAAACTGGTCTGATGTTTTGACGCAGCTTTGTTCATTTCGCGGCTCCTTTTCCACAACTCGACCACGAGTTTCCTAAATTGATCTGAGCACTCATGGTGTGTGGTTGGTAAGGTTTTGAAGGTTGAATTTCATCATGTTCGGGGATCAGTATCCAAGGTTGCGACGTGGTGGCTTGTGGTTTTTGGACAAGAACGAACTGTGGCCAGAACGAAATCTCCAACATTCCCTGTCAACCAAGTCTTCACTTTATATACGGGACCAGATCCCAAACGGCATACTCAAAGAGTACTTCAGGTTGAGATTGCAGCTCCGCGAATGGCGGTACATGAGATACACATGCACACTAGTATCTTGGAACCAACGTACAGAAGACCACATGCAACATAAGGTTTGTAATGCAGGATAGAACGCCAGCCTTTAGCCCAAGCTCAACTTAGAACCGTCTGCCACGAGCATCGTCGAGAGAGGCTTCGCTCCATGCCGTAGTCCAAGGAGAGCCTGTGCTGGAGGCAGCGGGTGGAGTTGGTGGCAGGTTTGTGGTGTTTTGGTTTATGGATTCGCAAAAAAAACTTTCAAAGTGTTTCGTGGGCTTTTGGACCTCGCTGTTGCGTGGTTTTTCCTTGTACTTGTATACTTGTGTACAGTGTAATTGATGTGGTTGCGCCTTCCTCAGCACCAGTCTGCAACAGGATGCTGGTATCTTCGACGAAGGAGGAGCGCTTGGGTGGAGGTTGCGGCTAGCATGGCATCAGCCGTCGAGTCTCCGGCTATTCCCCCTACAGGCCCTGCAGCAGGCCTGCAAAGGGCCCGGGCTCCTTGCATATGTATTTCTCTCCGTCTCTCTCCCCACATATATACATATATATATATATATACATACATATGCATTTGGTTGGTGTGTACATAAATCAACAAATACCAGCAGAAATGCGCCAAAGACCAAGATTCTACTGTCGTTTGAACAGTTCGTTCTCTTTCGCTTTCTCTCTATCTCTCTCTCTCTCTCTCTCTCTCTCTCTCTCTCTCTCTCTCTCTCTCTCTCTCTCTCTCTCTCTCTCTCTCTCACTCTTCCTATATATATATATATATAGATATATAGATATATAGATATATAGATATATAGATATATAGATATATAGATATATAGATATATAGATATATAGATATATAGATATATAGATATATAGATATATAGATATAGATATATAGATATACAGATATATAGATATATATATAGATATATAGATATATAGATATATAGATATATAGATATATAGATATATAGATATATAGATATATAGATATATAGATATATAGATATATATAGAAATATAGATATATAGATATATAGATATATTAAATATGTGAATATATGTTCATATACACACTCGTTTTTCGGAACAGTTCGTTTCAGGAGAGCCTTTGGGAGGCCCCGAGAGTCGTCTCGAAGTCCTTCGCGCTTGTGAGGGGCCTCTTGTCTGTGCTGCTTTCGGTGCCCACCTGGGCCCTAGAACTTGCTTAAGGATTTAAGGTTTAATTGGGATTTAGGGCTGAGGGTTTAGGGGTTCAGAATTTTGGCTCTAAACAATTCTTGTATACGGATGGCATAACCATAAATCCTAGAAAGGCAGATTCGCTAAGATTCTTCAGGCTCCACGCAGGGCTGAGAGGGCCCTAAAAGTTGCTGGCACTACTACTATGTTGAACCATGATAATCAGCCCTCTCTAATATGAAACCTATATATATACATATATATATATATATATATATACATATACATTCATATGATTCGTGCCGGGTCTGCAGATTGAAAAATGGAAATCCCTGTGTAAGTCATAAGCTGTACAGCCCGACCGACTAAACCCTTCACCGTACTATAGGGGCTTTAACAATTAGAATAGGGTTTTGGTACCCATTATACTATAATTATAAGAAGGAATCCCCCAAAATAGTAGTTATAGGTAATGATGAAGGCCCCTATATTATACCAGTACACATCGGAGTTTTGCTTATGAAGCCTCAGATCGAACCAATGCTCTCAGGCAGCAATAAAGATGCTTACTAAGTCCGGAAGGCTAAAGATCTGATCACTCAAAATTACTACGGGTTTGTATCCGGAATAGGGGTATACTTCAATGTACCCCACCAAAACCCAATTCTATTTTTTCGGGGTCCTTAAATTATACCCCCAAGGTTTGTTCCCAATAAATCCCGAAGCCACGACTCCCAGGCTCAAGCTGGGTCGGCTGTCTCTGCTGAAGGCTTTTGGGAGATTGAGTTTCGCGAGTTCCGGAAGAGGGGGAGGGGGGGTTTGGGGGTTTAGGGTTTTGATTTAGGGTTGGCGGGAGAGGGGGGCATTCGAGGCTTGTAAGGCTTTCTATATTGCAGGGTGAAGAAGGGTGTCTTGCAGGTGTCAATGTAGCAGGTTGGGCCGAGGCAGCTGCTCTTAAATCCTTCCTGATCGTTGACAATAAGTTGGCTGGTCCCTAGTCATTTCTCGACTGTTCTGCTCCTCTCTCTCTATGTCTCCGTTTGACAAAGATCCGTAGGTTCGCTCGAGCTGCTTCCGACTGTTTCTAAGTTGTTCTTTGTTATGCTCCTCTTTCTGACTCCCCTCTTTGTCCAATTGTCCTCGCTGTCATGTCTAATCAATTCATCTCGCGCATGCGTTCCTCTTTCTCGAGATTTCTAATCAATCTGTGTCGTGCGTTTTGCTCCTCCTTCTCAATATCTCACATTAGGCAAATTATGTGGTCTCTCTCTCTCTCTCTCTCTCTCTCTCGCGGTATGATCCTGCTTCTCAAACGTGCAAGTTCTTTTCGATTATTTGCTCCTCATTCTCCGCTCTGCTGTGAATTCTCTAGTCTCGAGGCGGTTTGCCCAAGTTTCGAGCTTCTGAACTTCGCCATGTTCTCTAGATATGTTCGAGCGAGTCGTTTTTCGTTCTCGACGGAAATTCTGTCGTGTTTGTTTCCGGTGGCCGGCTCTTCTTCCTCAGACTAAACTTTCCCTTATCACGGGTTTGCTAATATTCCTCAGTTTTTCCTGTCAGATTCTGGAGTCTCTTTGCAACGGTTTGCTCCTGTTTCTCAAGCTTTCTAGTCCCTTTCGATTGGCCTCCTGCTTGTTCTTGAACTTGCCGAAAAGGAGAACTTTAGAAGAGTCGCAAAGCGGTCGAAAGGGACAGTGGAATCTGAGAAACAGAAGCACACCCCTCGACACAGACTACAGAACTTGCCAGACGGGCGAATGCGAGACAGAGACGCACGTCAGTTTGTGACAAGTAAGAAATTTCAGAAATGGGAACAACACCGCTCGAAAGAGACCCCCTAAATCCCTAAATCCTAAACCCTAGACCAGAGAATTAGACACCTCTTCAGAAAGGAGTAGTTGACACGCGAACCAGTCGAAAGGGATGCGAGATTTCGACAAACCGCAGCAAGCCGCTGTACTGAAACGACCAGGACCCTCCTTCTAGCCTCAAACGGGGGTATATAGCCCAAAGAATGGGCATTTTATGGTTTAATAGAGGGTAGATGGAGGGTCTAGGGAAACTGTTTCCTAAAGTTGCTATCCATTTCCACTGCACAGCTCCTCTTCACAAATTCTGCAATTTGTCAAGCGCCCAGAGGCCCATTCTCGTTCGAGAGGCATCCTTTCTGTTTTCCTGAAACTCCTGTCGGCGAACCGTCTAGGGCCCTGATCCCCGAAGCCCGAAACCCCAGAAACATCCTAAAAACTTAAGGCCCCTATGCTTAAGGGTACTTAGAAACAATTCTTAATTTTGGGTTATTATAATCCCTAAGAAACAGCTAAAATTATAATGTTTGCTAGGGTTCTAAGTTCAGTATGGTATGACCCGCACGGAGGTCACCTTGCAGTACGAGGAGGGCATCGAGAAGCAGGCCAGTTCTGGTGAGCACCGCATTTGGGTAGTTGTCAAAATTATGGTTCCTTTTGAGGTCCTTAATATAAGACGGCACCTAATATTTAGGGTACGCAAAAAATGGACCCTAATTTTGGCAACCACCCATTTGGGTTTAGTGTTTTCAGGTCTGTGTTTGGAGTTGTTAGGCGTTCTTTCGATGCAGCAGTAGACTTGAGCATTTGTGTTGGCCGGTTGGTAGGGATGTCATCTGACTTCTGAAGAAGGGTGTTCAATCGATTCTATCTCGTGTTTCGCAGTTTAGAGGTTTTCCTTCAGGTGGCTTCAGGGTGTCAGGAGTTTTTCAGAAGCGTTTATATGGGTTTCACAGGTTTCATAAGATGTTCTCCATGGTGCTTGCGTGGTTTTCCGAGGGATTCACCTGCATACTCTTTAATCTAGGGCCGCACGTTAAAATTGGGAGAATGCTGACGTCCTGGGTCAAGGAATTCACTTTAGTTGAAGAGTGTGTTTCACTAAACTAGGCGGGGCTTCGGCTTGGTCCTGTAAATATGTGTTTCCCCGGGTTGAAGGGACATGGGCTGTTTGGGTGCCTGTGTAGCACATTGTTTGATCTAAACTCCTCAACTAACCGTGCATGAGCTCTTCTGAAAAACGGCCGCTATGCAGCTTATAGCTACCGGGTGGCTTAGCACTTACTTAAAGGATCATGGGGCTTGATAACTAAGGTTATAATTAGGGTAACTATACTGATAACCCCAATCAAGGCTCTTATAACCTTTCTTACTAAGTCCCACGATCCTTCAAGTAGCACTTAGTGTGTAGGGTTTTCTACAGCGAAGTCCACAAAAGCCGAAACCTGGATTAAAGAGGTTTAGTGTGTAGTATGAAGGTATCGACATCCCCAGCAGTTGAGCATTTAGGTGTAGAGCTGGGAGCCAGCGTGTAGGGTCATGGGATTAGGCTCTTCCTTACCCTGCAGGTCCCTATTATTTAAGATTGAGTTTGGGGTGTGGGGTCTGAGATTTCGCTTTTCTTCACGCTTGTTTGGACTCTGTTTCCAGGTTCGGAAAGTGTAGTTTCGAAAGATGAAGGGCGAACCTATCAAGTCGCAACATCTTACAGTGAGAGCTTGAGTGTCGGCCATCGAATGAAACCCTAAACCCTACCCTCCGACATGTGATGGCTTGAGTGCCTTGGCTGTCGGTGCAACGACTTAAGATTTATGTTTCAGGGGTCTAGGGGTTTTCGCTGCTTGTTCCCAAAGGAGCACTGCAAAGCTGGTGTGACTATGCTTTAGAAGTTTGAGCCGCTTGCAACTCGCACCTGCGTTGTAACTACTTGTTTGGGTTATGTACTTGGAGGGTCATGCGACTTAGTAAGTAAGGTAATAAGTGCCTAATTATGACCCTAGTTACTAAGCCCCATGATCCTTTAAGTAGACCCTATAAACCCCTCTCATCATAGAACCCTATAGATACCCTTCAAAGGAGCCCCTTAAGGAACCCTAGCTACTAAGTCCCATGATCCTTTAAGTAGGGGAGCTTGCGAATCTCAGTTTCCGCGAGTCCTCGCGTCAAGATGTAGGTGTTGGTGGTTGTAGTAGTAGCAGTAGGAGTAGTAGCTACTACCCACACCTCTGTCAAGAATCCAGCAGAGGCAGCCCCTAAACCCTAAACATCCCTAAACCCTAAACCCTAAAGCAGGAAGATTGGTTGAATTTGAGTGTCGATGTTGCAGGTACGGCGGGTGCTTGCTCAGCTCGAGCATCGGGTCGCTCCTCAGTTGCAACTACCTTTGACTCTTGAACAGTTGGGGTTGGGTACGGCCCTCACTCAGTAACAGTTGGATAATATTCATAATATAGATATATAAGGCCCTTAATAGTAGCCCTACTATGGACTGTTACTGTATGGGGGCCGTACCCATAGTTGGGGCTTTGATGCGACAACCTGAACCCGGCATGGCTCCAACACAGAGTGAAGTTCAAGGAATGCAGCAACAAGCATTCGCACATAGACCCTAAACCCTAAACCGACATTCCTGCTGCATTGGACAAGCGTTGTCGTGCAACTGCTTTGCGCTACAGGTCAGTGCTTTCAGGAGCACTGGTCCATGCCAGGGTTTCCATGCCGATCCAGGCATCGAACCCCGATCATTGGGTTTAGGGTTTAGGGTTTATAGGGTTTAGGGTTTAGGGTTTAGGGTTTAGGGTTTATAGGGTTTAGGCTTTAGGTATCCCTACATTCCATTGCCGGCACCAGACGCTTTTTGCTGCGTCAGCAAGCTTTCTTGCGACCCGCAGCCGGGGAAACAACAGCGGCAAGAAGTTGTGTCATCTCAAGGCCTCTTGCTTGGAGGTTCATGGGTAGTTATAAGGGTTCCTTCAAGGGTCCCTTTAAGGGGATCTATAGGGATTCTATAAGGGTAATTATAGGGTTTAGGGCCTACTTGGAGGTTCATGGGTAGTTATAAGTAGGGTTATAAGTAAGCTAAGTATACTTATATCCCATATTAGGAGACTTGTAACCCCACTTCTAACTGCCCATGCACCTCCAAGTACAGACGTGTCTTCGCTCGATTGGAGATCCTTGCCGGCCGAAACTGCAACCGAAAACCTACTTGGAGGATCATGGGACTCAGTAGGTAGGGTCTAGGGTCCCTTTTCAGGGTACTATAGGGTTCTATAATGGGCTTCCTTAGAGGGATCTATAAGGGGTGTATAATGGGAGGATCATAGGACTTAGTAAGTAAGGTTATAAGTACCGTAATTGGGGTTATAAGTATAGTTACCCTAATTATAACCCTAGCTACGAAGCCCCATGATCCCTTAAGTAGACCCTATAAACCCCTGTTTTGATAGAACCCTACAGATCCCCTTTCAAGGAGCCCTTTAAGGAACCCTAGCTACTAAGCCCCATGATCCTTCAAGTAATCCCACGAGATGCAGGGCATAGTCCTCTGTCACTCACATGCGGGGGTTTCCGAAAATCGGGGACCCTAGTATCGTACCCCTAAATAGTAGCATCCTGATTATAAGGACCCCAGAATAAGGTACCCCCTAATTTTTCGGAAACTCCCCAAGCCCTAAACCTTTATAGCACCCCTTTAAGGAACCCCTAAAGGATCCCTTTTAACGTACCTCCTAATTTTCGGGAACTCCCCAAGTCGATGTGATGGGGTTTTGTGTTCGAGCACGCCTTGCAAATGTTAAGAAGTGGCAGTCGAATTTTCCGCCACTTTACTATGGTTATAGTACTCGTATAATATATCCCAAACCCCATTCAGTCCCTATTCGAAGTATTAAGGCCTCTATAGTACTTAATCCTAGTCCTGAATCCTTGGCCCCTGAACTCTGAACTCTATATATCCGACTCAACACCATGCACCTACTACGCTCCATGACCCTCATATGGGTGGTTGTCGAAATTATGCTCCCTTTTGGGGTCCCTATTATAATACGGCACCTAGTATGTAGGGTACCCCAAAAGGGCCTTAATTTTGACAACTACCCATATGCAGCCTCAAGCATTTCCATGAGCTTTGGCTGCCAAGACTGGTAGCCGCGAACCCCAAACCCCTAACCCCTAAACTTTATGTCAACAAACCCCAGACTTTTTGTTGAAACAAACCCGAAATTTTTTGGGAGCCGAGATTGGTAACGGCCAACTTTGCGCCCGCGCTGCGGGCCTTCGTCGCACTTTTCTGGCCGTGACAGGTTTCAGGCGCATCTGTCTCGTGTAGGTTTCGGGCCTTGTAAACTAAACGATAGTCTTCTTAGGGATCATTTGTCTTTTTGTGCATTTAAAACCCAAGAGAAACCCAAGATAATATTAGCAATACTATATTGTTGTAATGGTTCGAAACGAGGTATTGTAAAACAACTGGGCTTGGGGGTTGGGGGTTCGGGATGCAGGTTAGGGCTTTGGGTTTAGGGGTTTAGGGATGCAGCGACTCGGGTTTAGTGTTTGAGATCTCGCCGTTGGGATTTGGGGGTTTAGGAGTCCGAACCTATTGATTTCGGGTTCGGGCAGTCTGGTGTATTATTCATGGTCGAGTGCAGACGTTCGTAGCAGCGCCCTTGTTCTCAGGATCTCTTGTTAGAGTCCTTGCCATGAGAAGGATGTATTCTTTGTGGGGTCCGCCCGAGTTAGCCAAATGCCAACTGCGGATTGCTGCGCGTGAGTCTGCAACGCGGAAATCTCAAAAACCAATGGACCCTAAGGTTTACAGTGTCTAGGGTTTATGTATAGGATCAAACGCTACCGGTAAATTGCAAATGCCGCAGGCCTCGATGGCAGCCGTAAACCAACCCAGATCTCAGCAGCTTAACACCTTCTTTTGCAAGAGCAGTTCATTAAGAAACCTTGGGTCCTTATTTGGGGTTCTGAACACGGATCCTAATATATTGGGGATATCGGGCCAGGGTTTCTTGATCAGGTTCCTACAGTAGGGTTCCCTGCTTTTGATTCAGGTTGTGTTGGGACCCTGCAAAGAGCTAAGAAGCTGACCGGTTTACGGTTGATGATATAAATCCTGCATTACCCCTAATAAGATTCAGAAATATACCATAATTCCCATCATTTAGGGTCATTATGGTACTGCAGGATTTATATCATCAGCCGTAGTACCCAGAATCTTGCTGGGGAGTGATGAGAAGGGCTTGTCCTTGCCGCTCTTCGACGCAGCTGTTTTACATCGCTGGCTTCATGGAGAGACCACGAATTACAGAACGTGCTCTAAAGAGCTTGTATCTCTGGCTTACTGCAGGGCCTGTGTATCCTGGCCTGCCGGCATTCTGTGTCATGGTATCATAGATACAAAGTCCAACAAGCACGGAAGCCCGAAGAATCCGCACTCTAGGCCGAACACGTACTGACGCAGTAAGCAGGGATCCAGGAAGTCGACAGATTTCGATCCTACTTGGAGGATCATGGGGCTTTGTAAGTAAGGTTATAAGTACCTTAATTGGGGTTATTTAGTTACCCTAATTATAACTCCCATGATCCTTTGAGTAGGCTTTACGCTTCAGATTTAGCTCTCCACCATGTCACTGTGGATGGGGCGTTTGCCGCGGGGCCCACATGGAACCTTTCGCAGAGAGCCTCGCCTATACGAAGGATCACGGGACCGAGCAAGCAGCCTTATAAGTGGGTATCTAAAGTTGTAGCTGGCAATAAGTTTATGACATATGGGTAGTTGTCAAAATTATGGTCCCTTTTTGGGTCCCTAATATAGTACGGCACCTTATATTTAGGGTACCCAAAAAGGGACCCTAATTTTGACAACCACTTAATATGTGTTGAATCCTGCTTGGGAAGCCTCTCAGAGACTCCGAGGACCGACCTTTGCTCGATGGCAAACTGCTGAGATGCGCCGCCTGCCTTCTGCTGACCTTGCCAGGGCCTTAGTTTGAGGTTTCTTTCGGGGAATCCCAGGCTCCTTTTAAAGAGTTTAGGGTTATCCCAGGCTCCTTTTAAAGAGTTTAGGGTTATCCCAGGCTCCTTTGAAAGAGTTTAGGGCTATCCCAGGCTCCTTTGAAAGGAATCCCAGGCACCTTTTAAAGAGTTTAGGGCTATCCCAGGCTCCTTTGAAAGGAATACCAGGCTCCTTTGAAAGGAATCCCAGGCACCTTTTAACGAGTTTAGGGTTATCCCAGGCTCCTTTCCAAGGAATCCCAGGCTCCCTTTAAAGGGTCAAAGGGTTTATGCTATAAAGGTGCCTGTAAGGGATCTTTAAGGGTTTAGGGTTCTTAGTAGCTGAGTGGATACACTTTACACTTTTTGGGGGTAGTATTACCCACTATAAAACTGAAAGTGTATATACACATATGGGGGTTTATGAACTCAGCAACTAAGGTAGGGTTGCGTGCAACTGTCATTATGTAAACTTGAACGCTATTGTCAGTGAAGCCTCAGTTTGATAGTCGAAGCCCCTCTGTTCGATGCTATGACATATACATGTACACACACATGTATGCATACCAATGCACCCATATGTAGACAGACGGTAGAACAAGTGCAAGTTTTTAGTGATCGCAGAGCGGAGCTCAAGCTTTTGCCATGCATTCCGAAGCCCAGGACGCACTCCCGTTTTAGGGTCCCGGGTTGAGGGAGGGAGAGGCATCCGCGACTTTCCAATCTCAGATCTAGCCATGCGATGATCACGAAGGCAGCACCGTCAGGTTGCATGTTGCCGATTTCGTACTGCAATATTTGGAAGCAAGGTTATATACCTTATATCCTATATTCCAGGTGAATTCTATTTCATGACAGTCATATTCAATATTCCATTCTCTTATATGTACCTTTTTCTTTTTGATGTACTTGTAATCCGTGCTTTCTCAGCCTCTTGGTCCTCTGTGTTCCGTCCCTGAAGGCTACTGGCCTGGTGCTGCGCACCCCCGAAACAGACGTCCTTCGTGGTTCCCAAGTCACAGACGACTCTTGGCAGGGGTACTCGTACTACGGGGGCCTTCATAATTTAGGGTTCCTTTAAAGGCTACTGTGAGGGTTCCTTTAGGATTTCTATACGGTTTAGGGTTTAGGGTCCACTACTCCTCTCTTCTTCATCGTTTTCATGATCGACATCATCATCATCATCATCATCATCCTTATCACTTTCATCACCAGCATCATCATCATGATCACCATCGCCTTTATCAGCAGCATCTTCAACATCATACTCATCTTATAACTACCCATGAACCTCCAAGAAGGCCCTAAACCCTGTACCCTTATAGAATCCTTGTAGATCCCTTTTAAAGGAACTTTCATAGCTACCCATGAACCTCCAAGTATCATACTCATCATCACTGGATCTTCGCCGCCAGTTTGGCCTGAGATCCGAGATCTGCGGAGAGAGGTAACCCTAGACCCGGTTGACTCCAATACCCCTTTTCCCAGAGACTCCTAGGGTTCCTTTGAAGGGATCTATAAGGGATCCTCTAAGGGTTCCTATAAGGTGTAGGGTTTAGGGGACTCCAATATCCCTCAATTAAGGAATTGACCTTGAATTTTGCGCTTTAAATTATAGTAGGATTCCTAATATAATTTAAGGTATATTCCTGAATTAAGGGATATTAGAGTCTCTGGGACCTCATGAGAATTGTGGGGTTTCAGCGTTTTGGGCTTCAGACTCTCTTGGGGGGGCCTTGGGTTCAGAGATCATTCAAGGACTAGGACCTGGAGTAGGCCCTTATTCCCTTTTTTTAGGGTTCAGGTCCCCTGAAAAAGCCCCTTTAAACCAAAAAGGGCACTCTTTTTGTTCCTTGGTTACTCTTGGGTCTAGAGGAGTCCTGAGCCTAGGATTAGATGGGTCCTCCAGCTGTAGGTATAACTTTTTGGGGTAGTATAGTCCCTATATAACCAAAAAAGTTAACCTTGAGTTCCCCATGATACCCGACAAGGAGGGGTTAAGGTTGATGCTCTAAACCCTAAACCCTAAACCCTAACCCTAAAAACCCTGAACCCTAAACCTTAAACCCTAACCCTAAACCCGAAACCCTACACCCTAAACCCTAAACCCTAAACCGTAACCCTAAACCCTAACCCAAAACCCCAAACCCTAAACCCTAAAATACTCTGGAGGTACTGGGGCTCTTGGGGTTGACGGATCTGCAAGGATACGGACTCGGCCCAAAAGGTTTGAGTAGTTCTGCGTAAAGCCCATTACCCTAAGGGTCCATGTACCTAAATAGTATATACGTTTGGGTACATTGGGCCCAAAGTATATACCATTTGGGTACATGGACCCTTAGAGTTAAGCTCGAAACTCTGAAGCCTCACGGTGATATGACAGTGCCTCGATCTTCGATAGTGAGATATTTGAAGCCTACTGCACACTGCCACTCTCAAACAAGGAAAACACCAGCGACAGCTCGATACATGTGTCGGTGTACACGTACACCCAAACGTGTACATGCGTGCGTATGTATGTATGTATGCATGTGCGTATATACGTACGTACGTAGGTATGTACGCATACATGTAGTTAATCATGCGTTTACAGCCCTCGATGTTTTAGATACACAGAAGTTTGCATATCAGAGTATGGGTATGTGAGTAGACATGTATATGTATATATATATATATACATAGCACATAACAGTCAATACAACATATGTTAGGTTGCTACAGCGCAATACAGCTTCATAGATACCTCTACTCTACCGGCCTAGATGTGCATATGGGTGGTTGTCAGAATTAGGGTTCCTGTTTGGGTCCATAATATAATACGGCACCTAAAAATAAGGGTACCCAAAAAGGAACCCTAATCTTGACGATCACCCATATAGTAAACACAGGCCCTTAAAGACCCAAAAAGGGACCCTTATTTTCGGAAACGCCCATATGTGTCTATCATCCTTATCCTGGCTCCAGGACGGGTCATGACCGGCTTAGCCGCAGCCGTCGCCGGGTTTTGGGGCAGACCGAGAGCACCGAGGCAAGGGTGCGTTCCTGCAGGGTTTTAAATCATAGGAGGCCCCCCAAAAAAGGGGTTTTAGCCAATGGGGGTTTCGTAGGGATTAGGGTTCCCATAATAGGGTTCATATGAAGGAATCCATACCCCAAGAATCTCAAACCCCCCTTCTGGCCTCCCATCATTAAATCAGGGTTTCCAGAAGGGTCTGGGAAGGGTGTGTATGTTGATGCGTGCTTTTTTTGTACACGGGCTTCTGCAAGGGCGCTACTTGCCAGTTTCCGAAAAATAGGGGCACTGTATT